CTGTGTCTCATGCATTGCAGGCTGATTCTTTATCAGGTGAGCGATCAGGGAAGCCAAATAAAGATAACAAATAATGTATATTTAATTCCTGTTCCCTACTGGTCTATATTCCCTATCTGGAGAAGAAAAGGGAGCATGAAGGCTGGGATGGATGGTGAGAAAGACTGGGGAATGGAATTGTAGGAGAAAGGGAAAGACAGGGTTAGTAGTGGAGAGCACAGGAGACAGAATGCGTCTTTTCAGGAAGCAAGGTGTCGCAGATTTTGAGGTGGTTTTTTTTTTAGTATAAAAGTATAGTTGATTTACAATGCTGTGTTAGTTTCTGGTGTACAGCAAAGTGATTCAGTTATACCTGTGTGTGTGTGAGTGTGTGTGTGTGTGTATTCTTTTTCATATTTTTTTCCATTGTGGTTCACAGCAGTATATTGAATATAGTTCCTTGTGCTGTACAGTAAGACCTTGTTGTTTATTTTATGTATAGTAGTTTGTATCTACTAGTCCCAACTTTCTGCTGTATCCCTCCGTCCAGCATCTTTCTCCTTTGGAAACTGTATGTTTGTTTTCTATGTCTGTGAGTCTGTTTTATAAACAAGTTCGTTTATGTCTTACTTTAGATTCCATGTATGTGATATCATATGATATTTGTCTTTCTCTGTCTGACTTACTTCACTTAGTATGATAATCTCTAGGTCCATACATGTTACTGCAGATGGCATTTTGTCCTTCTTTATGATTAATATTCCATTGTATATATGTACCCCGTCTTTATCCATGCACCTGCCTTGAACACACGAAGGTTGCTTCCATGTCTTGGCTGTGGTAAACCGTGCTGCAGTGAACATAAGGGTGCATGAATCTTTTAAATTATAGTTTTTTCTGGATATATGTGCCCAGAAGTGAAATTGCTGGATCATATGGCAACTTTGTTTTTGTACCAATCTACATCCCTACCAACAGTGGAAGAGGATTCTCTTTTCTTCACAAGAGGTGGGTTTTTTGAGATTATGTTTAGTTGGTATTGATTTTCTTACCATATAGTGCTAAGAAAACATCACAATTTGTAGTTTTTATATTGGTATAGTCTCTATTTCTAGAGACTACTCACATGGAATAACTGAAACAACTCATGATGGTGGAAATTTTTCCCAGTGATAAAACATGAGCTACCAGAGAAATATCACTTGTCTGATCAGATAAAATCGATCATCACCCATATTTTAATTTATTACAATAAAGCTTAGGCACAGGAAAATTTATAGTGAGTCATAGTCTTTTGGAATTGAGTTTTGGCAAAGTTTGGTTTTTCAGAAAGGATTTTCTTTATTTTGAGACTGTTTACTGAGAATATTATCATTCTTTTACTATTAACCTTTTATGTCTTCTACTTTTTCCATCCCCTGTCATCTCAAATTACTGTGGAGCAGAGATCAAAATCCAACTGTTGATGTTGCTCTGTTTTCAGGGAAAAGAGCATTTCAGCTATAGGCTGATCTGTAATTACTTGCGTAAAATGATAATAAATTCCAATAACTAAACTTTTTAAAGAATTTTCCTTTGTAAGATGCAATTCATTTCTTCCTGGTATCTGCTTTTTTTAAAACCAAAATTAACACAACCAAAGTATGATAGATGATCTTATGAACCTAGTGTTCATTAGAAAAGTCAGATAGATAGTAAGGAACATGAACAAAAGTCATTTTTAGGAAAAACATAAGATATCTCCATGGATGCTTAAAAAAACCTCATTCCTGTCTCCTGAGTTTCTACCCACCACTTTCTTTTTATGCATGTATTTATTATCATAAATATGGAAGGATTTATTGGTGATTCACTTCTCTTATCTCAGTTCTGCCTGCCTCCGACTCTCTTTCATTTCCATGTGTTTGTTTTTCTAAAATATATCAGTATTAGTTAAAATCTGTGTTGCAGTGTAGACTGGCTCTGTGTCCCTGGGGTTACCTCATATGCACTTCAGGCCCCTCAGATTGCCCTTGATTTCCGTTTCTCAGGCTGTGTTCTCCCGCATCCACCCCTGTCCACCATCACCACTGATAGGTATGTATATGAAGTTCCCAGGGCGTCTGTCAGTGTCCCCTCACCGACACCTGAGTAATAGCCAGTCTCAGATCACAAAAGTCTAATGATGAATCCATATCTGTCATGAGCTGGAAGATCTGCAGGGCACACAGTAGGTAAGGGCCTAATAAATGTTTGATGGACAAATAAAGAAATGACTGTGCAAAGGGATAGAGCTCATAACTGAAGTCCTTGAGGAATGAAGCTGTTTAGGCAAGCACTTCTGTCCGTAAGTATAGCCAATTAAGTGTGCAGCTTGAAGCAGCATGCGTCCCAATATCCATTAGTGATCACAGACTGCAGCCTTGGGTTTCCCCGGTGAATTCATATGCAGGCTGACCTGACGGGAACCACTTGCGCTATGAATAATCACAAGGCTTCCCAGAGGGCAGGGTTTCAGTGGTGGAGATTCTGCATCACAGAGCTTCACCTGTGCTATGAAATGGCTTTCTGTGTCCTAACGGTGGGAGGGATCCACTCTTATTAGAATGAACGCTTGAAAGGTCGCCTTCCAAAACCTGAACTTTCTGACGTAAAGAGCAAAATCATCTTTGACAAAGTTGGGAATTGAATGAGCAAGACACAGTTCTCCTCAAGTCCAAGGACTTCACATTTTGCACATGTTTTCTCATTTCATTGTGTTTTACACCAGGTTGCTATTATATCAAGCATTTTAGCAGCCTTGATCTTGGAGGCAGGGAGACCATTACTCGTGTTGTTGCTGACTTAGTGCTACAGCTGCTTCCTCTTTCTGTGATTTAGTTTGAAGCTTCAGCCCACCAGGGGGCCGTTGGTCCCCACCTATGCAGGCTGAAGAGCTGGCTGCTGTTTTCGCGTGGCTATTATTTCCATCCTATTCATAGCGATTTTTCCCCTTCTGTATTCATCTAGCAAACAGCAAGGCACTGTTCCAGGAACTTGCTCTCTCTACATAAGGCATAACATGGAACCATTTGGATGGAAAAATTATAAATTAAAATTATTCTGTTCATTTTAAAATATTCATATTGTGTTGCTCAAATGCCAGTAACTGGAAAATCATGGATAATGTCCTGTTTTTATAACCTCTTTCAGAGTGTTTTAAAATCCGTTTATGTTGTTACTTAGCCATCTCTTTTCCTGGAGTGGATTTTGTGATAAGATTTTTTTAAAAAAATGGTTGTATGAGTCTAGTGTCTGATGGCATATGTCATGTTAAAATACAGATGATACCACTAATTGCAACCAGTTTTTTTCAACAGAAAAACACTCTGTACAGAGGATATTTATAAAATTATAGAGCCACAAAGATAGCCTGTTTATATGCCAGATTATTTACTTTGAGGATAAAACTTTTTATTAAATGATTAAAACTAAGCAAATGTTTATTAGTTTCTGAAACAACATATTTAAATTAAGAAAAGACATATATTCATAACATTACAGATTTTCAAATATGAGGTGTTAGAAATGTTTAAAAAAATCTCTAACTTTTAAAATGAACTTTTTTTTAAATGTCTTCTTTAATTCGGGGAAACTAAATTTTATTTCTATCCTTGTTTTCCATGTTGTCTGGGTGTGGGTGAGGATGTGCTTGTCTGAGAAAGAGAATCAAGTGGGGAAGAATTAATATGTTTTTATGTCAGCTGATTAGTTTGTTGATAAAGTAAATATATCTCTTCTAATAATGGCAAGACCTGTGATTGGAGATCTTAACTTCATGTATATTTTTCCACCTCTGTGCAACACATTAAAGAGTGAATATCTTTCTTTTTTGCTTCTTTTTTCTGTTGAAGTTCACATTCACAAAGAAACGATATGTTTTATTTGTTGTCTCTCTTGACTAGGAATATTTAAGTGTATTTTTTAGAACTGTCAACCAAAGACAATTTAAAATTTTAATTTTTAAGTCTCTTCCTAGAAACTTCTTTTGGTTCAGGCTGTCGTATTTGTTTGTGTGCCTTGTGTGTGTGTCGAGATTCTTCGGAAGCAACAAACCACATTAGCCTGAGCAAATTTCACAGGCCCTTGTCACTATTTGTTTTCCCCTTGTGAATCATTTGGCCTTATAAAATAGGCTAATCCTTTAATTGAATATGCCTTCAGAAACATTCTGTGCACCCTACAAACTTGGGTGGCTCTTGCTAACTCTGCTTTATTTATTTTAAATAATACTAGGTGATCCCAAAGTATTTCCTTTCAATTTTTGGAAGACTGTTATTGCAAGTGGTAATGTTTGAAGTCAGGATTCTTTGTAACAACAGTAGCAAGAAAACGTAGATACATTTCACTAAACTCCAACTGATAGAAAATAGGATGCAATCTGTCCTATTTTTAGTGAACAGGTTTTCCAACACAGATGCTTAGTTCCTACAGTGACCAGCTTCTTTGAATGCAGCAATACAATGCAGTCTATTCTTAATTGAATAAAGAAAACAAATTGGCATAGTTACTGCAGGAGAAGTGGGTACCTCGTGATGAATAATTTGTGAGTCCAACTTTAACTACACTTGACATTTTTCCTTAGGTCGCTGACAGACTGATTAGTGAGTTAACTGCTGATGGTACCTATTCTGTGGAGGGACTCTTTCAGTTCTGGGGCTTATGCTGTTCAATCAACTAGGTATCCTCTGTGATGGGACTAAAGCCTTAGTCTTGATCAAAGGGCTTTGAAGGAAGCATGGTTGAACTGATTGGCTGTGAATGTTAATCACTCCATAGGACGCACTGATAATTTACAGCATTGTTGTAACTCTCTGGTGTTCATAAAATGAACTTAATAACCCGGTGCCACCATGGGATAAGCTGCTTTCTCTCTGCAATTGAATACCCAGACTTGCTTGCATAATAGTGTTGAAAAAACCTGCATTAAAAAGAGTGAGCAGCTGTATGATGAAGGAGACAGCTCTGCAACAGATTTGTTAATTATCTCCTTTGATTCACAGAGGGTGTTTGTGAGATATGGTTGACCAGTGAAGACACCGGGGCTTACGGCAGAGATATTGGCTCCAGCCTCCCAGCCCTGCTATGGAAGCTGGTTGAAGTGATTCCTGAGGGAGCGATGCTGAGGCTGGGCATGACCAATCCACCCTATATTTTAGAGCACCTGGAGGTAAGGAAAAGCAGCTCATTTCCATGCTGACACAGACCTGAACCAACCCAGACAGCGTGGCAGCAGCCTCAGCACCATCCCACAAGTTTCCTTTAAGACCACTTTTCACATTTCTTTTGTGGTCTCATGTTACCAAGAATGAATTGGGAATTTCAAGTCCCCTTCTTTGTCATCTGCACATCTTGTTTCTGTTTCCTCACCCTTACTTAGTTAATGTTGCCTCGGTTTTCTAGCATTTGCCATCTTGTCCCAGTTCTTTGCATCTTGCTTACAACCCTTCAGTTTTCCAATGTGTAAATTTGCCTCAATCCCTCCATTTTTAACCCTTGTCTATTTCAGGACAGATAATATGGTGCATTGATTTTGCAACCAACTGTGAACATTGCATTATCTGAACTGCTGTTAGCCCTACCAGTAAGGATACTGTGCTGCAGAATTTTTAAACTCCATCCCTTTGTCTGGCGATAGTTAGGGGTGAAATGAGATCAAAGAGACACAGAGCTTCGTATTCTTCCACTTGGTTCTCTTGTGACCAGTGTGAAAAAAGGAGTTATAATAATGCAAGATCCAGAGTCTTATTTTCATAACTTCCATGGATCAGGTTGCTTACCCTCAAGTAGCCTACTGCTAAATTAGGAAAATGGACATTTGTACAAGTAACTATGGTGGTGGTTATTGTTTAGTCACTCAGTTATCTCCAACTCTTTTGTGACCCCATGGACTGTTGCCTGCCAGGCTTCTCTGTCCATGGGATTTCCCAAGCAAGAATACTGGAGTGGGTTGGCATTTCCTCCTCCAAACTCTTCCCAACCCAGGGATTGAACCCATGTCTCTTACATTACAGGTGGATTCTTTACCACTGAGCCTCCAGGGAAGCCCAAGTAACTGGGGTACTCGATGACAAATGGTACAATAAGTATGAGCAAAGAATATGGACAAGGGAGCAACCATTTAAATGAAAAACTATGTGCTGGGATCCATGATTTTTATTTGAGAAATAAATTATGCTATTAATCTCATAGTTGAGGACAAGTACTCTTGGAAAATCATGCACAAAGTGTAGAAACAAGTCACTTATATTTTTAATCAGTTGTGTTCTTTGCAATAAGTTTGCATAGAAAAACGACATTGCAAAATTTTAAAAGCAAGTATAGTGGCTGAAATTAAATGTGTAAGTGCAAATAAATATCCCTGAATTGCTTCTGTTGATTTGGTTTAGAGGCCTTTACCATGAGGTTGTTGCTGAAAAGTCACGCTACGATGAACAAACTATTTTAGAAATTCTGAAAACAGTTGATCGCAATCTGGTTGTTAAATATAAATATATAATGAAGAGATTTAGCAATTTTGTTACATTTTCCCAGCAAGATCTTTTTAGTAACTGTGTGTGATTTATATGTTAACTGTGGTACTTTGGGCAGTGTGGGACAATTATGATTTGCTATTTAAAAATAAGTTGCAGGCATGTCTGTTTTTATTTAACTCTTTGACTTTGAACTTGAAAAACCAAGATGATTCTCTGTAAAAAATCAAATCTGCTAACAGCAGTCTTGCTGTGTTTGCAGTAAATGTGAGGCATCATGAAGACCAGGAGATGTGTTGGGTCTTTGGTGGGTAGGAAGAGAAGTAAGCCCTGCCAGTATACAGATGATAACAGGCCACTTTCTTTGAATTAAAAAAAAAAAACTCATTAAAGATTAAGGGAACATTAGTAGCTACAGTCAGAGAAGTTCAGGTGGGTATAAACACAAGGGGAAAAAATTAATGTATTGGCTCTGAGATGAGCAACCTAATATCTCTTGGAAAAAATTCAGCCTTTTAATTAATTACAAAATTGCAGAAGCTAATATTGCAGTTATAGCAAACCCTAATGCTCATCTCCTGGCATGGTGCTAGAGTTGTTGACCCTCAAATAGATGCTCCAAGAAGAGCCACTAAATCAACAGAAGATGCCAAATGCAGCTTTATACTTTACCTGGAAAAACAATAGGTGTTTAGTTCATAGATTGTAGTTAGATTGAAAATAACTTTCATTTGTCATACATTGTCGTTGTTCAGTCACCCAGTTGTGTCTGACTTCACAGTCTCATGGACTACAGCATGCCAGGCCTCCCTGTTCCTCACTATCTCCTGGAGTTTTCCCAAGTTCATGTCCATTGCATCGGTGATGCCATTCAGCCATCCCATCCTCTGTCGGCCTCTTCTTCTGCCTTCAATCTTTACCAGCATCAGGGTCTTTTCCAATGAGTCGGCTTTTTGCATTAGGTGAACAAAGTATTGGTCATAACATTACCTTTATAAAAATGCTTGCTTTAAGATATCTATAATGTTGGCCTTCCCTCCTTCATTCTCATCTTCATGAAGGCATTGTCATTATCTGTCTCTTGATACCCCAACCAGTAGTGACTCAGTGAATGAGTAAATCAAAGGGTGAATGAAGAAGAGCTTTCTTCATAAAATAGATTGTAGAGCCCATGCTATAGTTTTGAATTTCAAAGTCTTAACATTCTGGCCAGAAGAGGCAGCACAAGATGACAAAGTAAATGAGCTTCAAGGGCTCCCATGTGTGAAAAAGGCCATCAGGGAAGGGAGCAGCCCCCCGGGGGAGCCTCAGCCCGCACCCGCAGTGCATTGATTTACCCATTTTACTCTTGCTAAGCTTAGACCACGCTGAAGAAATTACCTGATTCATCTAAAGTGCTGAAGAGAGTCCATCAATAAGGAAAGCAAGAAAACAGAAGAAAAGCTGAAAATAGAGGGAAAAAAAATCCCAGTGGATGACCGATTTTTTTTTTTTTTTAAACATCAGGATAGAAGGAAGCCACTCTTGAATAACTTCTCTGATGCTTTAATACCTTTATGGTGGGCATTCCTGGCAAATTATATTGGGAGGACCCAGCCTTTTTGTGTTTCTGGAAGATGCTTCATGCTACAGACTTTAATTACAGAGCACTTCACTAGGTGGCTTTCCTTCCTCTTGGTTCTGTTCACTTCACATTACCTGACTCTTGAGATTTTTCTTAAACTCTTTTAACAGTTTTTTTTTAAATTGAACAGTTTAAAGGAAAATACCAAAGTTTCTATCATTATTTAAATGTATGGTGTGGAAAAATGGGTCTGTTGAAAATATATTTTATTAAATCTTCCTAGGAACAGAAGATATCACACTTAACATAGGATGTAGGTTTAAGTTTCTATTGAGAGTCTAGCATTTTGTGTGGCACTTTATATAGCAGATATTGCATAGATGTGTAATGAATAAAAGGAAAGGGGGGAGAATTCTTAATCCCTAACAGGCAGTCAAAGTTGAGTATCTGATTGGAACACCTACAAACCCTATTTTTAACTTGTGGATGCTGTAAAAAACCGTAAGGGATTCATTTTAAATGGTAACATAACTGACAAAGATATCTTATTTATACACACACACATATACATGTGTATATATATATACACACAATACATGAACTGTGAACTTCCAGATATTCAAGCCGGATTTAGAAAAGGCAGAGGAACCAGAGATCAAATTGCCAACCTTCGTTGGATCATCGAAAAAGCAAGAGAGTTCTAGAAAAAATCTGCTTTATTGACTGTGCCAAAGCCTTTGACTGTGGATCACAACAAACTGTGGAAAATTCTGAACAANAAAAGCAGTGACATCACTTTGCCAACAAAGGTCCATCTAGTCAAAGCTATGGTTTTTCCAGTGGTCATGTATGGATGTGAGAGTTGAACTATAAAGAAAGTTGAGTGCCAAAGAATTGATGCTTTTGGACTGTGGTGTTGGAGAAGACTCTTGAGAGTCCCTTGGACGGCATGGAGATCCAACCAATCAATCCCAAGGAAGTCAGTCATGAATATTCATTGAAAGGACTGATGGTAAAGTTGAAATTCTAAGACATTGGCCACCTGATGCAAAGAACTGACTCATTGGAAAAGACCCTGATGTTGGGAAAAATTGAAGGCAGGAGAAGGGGATGACAGAGGATGAGATGGTTGGATGTCATCACCAACTCCCAGAGCTTACTCAAACTCATGTCCATCATGTTGGACAGGGAAGCCTGGCATGCTGCAGTCCATGGGGTTGCAAAGAGTTGGACATGACTGAACGACTGAACTGACTGACCGGGTCCTTAAGATGCTTTTTTCATTACATTCCTGTTTGCTCTTCCCTTTTGCTGTTCTTACGATGCCTCCTGTATAACCTGCATTTTTTAAAAACCATTTTATACTCCTGCTATTTTTACTTTAATTTTTTTTGACATTTCATACTTACCATATGATGACAGTGGGTAGTAATCAGTTAATCAGAATTACTAATGTTTGCTACTGCATATGTTGACTAATATATTCCCCTAATATATGCTCTTATAGCATCTAATAAGAGAGATTTTCCCTCTATTTTTGCTTTCCTATTGATACCGCTAAGATAATAATGCTAGCATATTCCTCTTCAATGAACTCTGACCTTCTAGATGGAGTGGCTTGTGAATTTGATACTCTTGAAACTACATTGCTTGGTTTTGCCCTCTGCGTTATGGGTAGTCCACAGGTAAGGTATTATGTTACTTCAGACTGACCAGTTGGTTCTAGTGGTAAAGAATCTGCCTGCCAGTGCAAGAGATGCAAGCGATGTGGGTTCAGTCCCTGAGCTGGGAAGATCCCCTGGAGTAGGAAATGGCACCCTATTCCAGTATTCTTGCCTGGAAGATTCCATGGGCAGAGGAGACTGGTGGGCTAGTCCGTGGGGTTGCAAAAGAGTGGAACACAACTGGGCAAGTTAACAGCATCTTCATTTTATTGACAGAGAAGCCAAGTCTTAGAAAGCTTTAATAATTGACTGCGTTACATAAATGATTAGCAGCTGCCTGGTCTCTAATCTCCTCTGATTCTGAAATATTTTCTACAATCCTGCATCTTCCATAAGACCTTCCCCAATAATTTCCAGTTTCTTTCCTTGCTTTGTCAGACTCTGTCTGACATGTCTTTGTTGGCATTCATCATGGGGTATCATGATTCCTTATTTATAGCTAAATCCAACAAAAGTGTTCTCATCTTTAGGGAGAGGCTGTATTGTCTGTCTTTGCATTTCAGCGCCACGGAAAACATGTACTTGAGAAGCGTGTATGGAATGATGTGCTGGCTCTCATGTTACCTGCTGTTTGACTGCATGTCTTACACGTATTGAGGCACTTTCATATCTGGGCCGAGCATCTGGTTTTGGAATAGTCTGTGGATGGTTGTCATACATGCTTCTCACTGTGAGTCACCCTAGTGTGAGGAGGCACTAGGTGGTGGGGGAAAACCCACCTGAGTGGTATGCTTTAGTTATTTGCCGGCTAACATATCATGGTGACAGATCATCTCTTTAGAACTACCTAGAGCCTATGAGTTCATTATATGATTACTGAACTTGTTGATTATTTAGGTTTTTAGCTTCTTTCTTCTCTTTCCTGCCTCTTAGCTTTCACTGCTTTTTATCACCTCCATCAGAGAAATCAACAGTAGATGGTCAAGGAGGAGAAATTAAAACCAGGCAGTTTGTCTTGCTCTTTATTTTATACGTTGGCTGGTAGGGAAAAGATATGAAAGCTGTTGACCTGTCAGGGATATGCAGATTATCTGTGAATTCAATTTATCTAACCTATCCTGTTCTCATTGTGTTACGAATAATTTAAAATAACTTTTATCTTCCTTGAAGATGCCTGTATGTCTTAGAGTCATATAAGAATTTTGGTGTACCACTTACAGCCTGGTCCAGAGAGAGCGAGTTGATTAATCTGTAGTACATATGCTTTTTATTAAGGACTTTTCTTATGTTCGGATTATGAATAAAGCAAATTGGTTACTTTTAAATTTATGTTACTCTGCAAAACATTGCTGAAAAGTATTGCCACTCATATTTACATTATTAGATTTTAATCAGCTTGATTTAAAATGTATAGTTTTTTACAAGATTTATATTTAGTATATTTGTTATATATATTATGTAAGTTTAATCATAGTGATATTTTAAGTATTCCATCCGTTTTTGATTGAGAAATCTTGTAGTTACTATAAGATAGTTTTCTGCTACTCTTGATTTTTGTATATTTTATTTACTTACTTCTATTTAAAAGACCTTACATTTTAATCTAATTGTTGATTTAGCAAAGTTAATTTATCTGGTAAAAAACAGTAGATATCTGTCAAGGACTTTTGCTGTATGGTAATTTATGAACATTAACGGTATGTTTGGCTTGGTCGACTTCTGAAAAATGCCTCATAGTTTCAAAATAATAGCGAACTCAGTACCTGCTGTGCTTATGTTTCATCAAAGCAATACAGAATTTTCAGATTGAAGTGAACAGTTCACATGTGTCTTTAAACCTTCGGATTTTTCCTTGAGATTTGTACTTTGCAGCATAATAGAAAAATATGCAAACAGATTTTGTGCTCTTGTATGCAAACTATTTCACCCTTTCCTTGAATAGAAGGGCAAGGAAATGAAAAGGAAAAATCTTTTATTTCTGCAGTCCACTATATTTTTTGAGTCTTGTCAGTGTGGTTTGATGTGACTGTTGGCACCCAGCTTTCTACTAATTAGAATTACCAGCACTTTACTTCATTTTTAACCTGCCATTGATTTCTGACTGGATTTTAAGAGATCAGTGAAACTTCTGAAACTGGAAACCAGAGTCTGTGCCTCTGAAAATTTAGGGGGAAGAGGCCTTCATCAATTATTAAAAGGATTTCTATATCCTTAATAAAGAGCTCATCAAGCCTAATTCTGAGAGCTGGGAGCAGCCCCCCCAGAAAGGAAGATAAACGGGGCTTGTGCCCCAGTCTTGTTTGCTGAATGACTTGAATCCTGGTAAAATCATGAAATAAATTCATTTATTTATGAAAGCACTGTTTGCATTTTTTAAATTAATTTTTATTGGAATATAGCGGCTCTACCATATTGTGTTGTTTCTTCTGTTCAGCCAAGTCAGTCAGTCATCCATGCACCCACTCTTTCTTAGATTCCGTTCCCATATAGGTCATTACAGAGTGCTGAGTTGCCTGTGTTCTGCAGCAGGCTCTTATTAGTTATCTATTTTGCTTATAGTAGTGTTTCAGTGACTAAGTCTCATAACAGCACGCAGGCCAGCGGACCCAGAAAAGAAACGAGCTCATAAAGAGTTAGACTTGCTCTCAACAAATAACTGTTGCTATCCTCACAGCCACAGACTCATCAGTTTCATCAGGAATTTTATGTTTGTCATCCCAGGTATATTTTTCCCAGGGGGAGAAGGAGCTATCTTGTGCATGACTGTTTCTCAGGTTGAAAACATTATCTCTGTCTTCTTGGGGAGAACAGTGGAAAATCCATGTTTTAAGATTCTGTTTATGTGGCGGTAATTTATACAGCAACTCACCCTGTGGACCGCCCTGCCGCCCCCAGTTTCTGAATGACCAGATAGCATGGACGGGAGTGTAGACTCAGCAAAGGAATATAGATAGATTGGTTTTGGTTATCATAATATGGTTTAATCCACTTGGTGATAAAATTATCTGAACTTTGCAACCACTGATAACATTTTTCTCTTGCCATTGGCCAAAACTTTTACGTATTGCTCAAGAAATCCAGTGACTTACTGACAATCATTCCCCGAAGAGATGATCATTTTCCTGAAAGGAAAAAACATAGAGATAAAACGTGGGTCAAGATAATAAGTGAAAAGGCCTCAGCAAATGACTTATAAAGAAACTTATGTCACAGTCAAATATCTGGAATTATGTGTGTGTGTGTGTGTGTGTGTGTATCTTTCTCTCTCTCTCTCTCTCTCTATATATATATATATATATATATATGTATATATATATATATATATATCCTTTAACAAAGCAGAACACTTTAATATGTCAGAATTGTAAATATAATTCTAGGATACTAGAAGTCTGGAAATTTACATATTTTGATTGTGGCATACAAAATAATCCTGTTTCATCTTTTAGTATTCTGGTGTACATCTCAGTTTCTAAAGAAGGGCATTAGATATGTATATGCTTTAATTTGCATCTTAAAGGCATTTCACTTTGCCATTTTCCTGAATCCTTAATTTCACAGGAGTAGCTGAGAAGGCTTCCATGTCACCTGTCAAAATTAGTATAGTTCAAACTCCACAATACACCATCTGTGGGCTTTATCTTCCTCATTAATTTAGGAAGTCAGTTATGCTCAAACCATTGAGAAAAGCTGCCTCTGACTTTTCCTTCAACAGCACAGAACATGGCTAACACATAAGGCATTCGATGTAATTTTTTCTTTACACCTTTCTTTGAATACTAGGATCATTTCTGTATTGATTTCTTTGCTCTGATAGCCTACAAAAGGCTACCATACACCATTGCTAATTCAGCACTTAGTAAAGTGAAATCTTCATATTTTATATCAGGTGGGTAATGGAATTTTCACGTGATTCGTGGTGTAGAACAGAAAAGTTGGTAATGAAGTTAATGGTTCATAGAATAATTGAGAGACATTCTGCATATTTTTCAGAAATAGTTCCTTGGTTTGCTTCTATTTATTTTTAATCTAATAAGTTGTTTGTTGTTTTTAGATCCAGTGTGCATCTGTCCTGTTTCCCATATCTTCCTTTGCCTACCACAAAGATAATCCACATGAAAATGTTAGGCTTTCGCATTTTAAGTCCAAAATTCTTCAATGTCATTTAACAGTAAATGATGATTGTGTCCTAAATTGGAAATATAAGGGTTCTTAAACTATTAAGAATGCCTGTATTTGAATGCATTGAACAGAACTATCAAGTAGATAATCAGCGTGAGTAACATATGTATAATAAATCATTGTTAGCATTAGTGGGTGCTGCACGTGGGCCAGATGAGTCAAACTGTTGAGAGTGATATTGAAAGCTCTCCAGTTGTTCATTAGTTTAGCGGGGCAGAAATCTGTTGTGTAGCTTTATAGCTTGTATTTTTCTCCGTTTTTCAAATTGCTGTGAAAAGTTTGCTCCTCGTAAAACCTTGTTTGATTAGAGAAAATATTGTTGATAAATCTATCTATAATATGTAGCAACAAAGAAGTAACTTTCATAGTTATGTGTTAAAATATGTCTAAAAAGCAAGCTTTACATCAGCCTTTTATTACACAGTCATATGGAATAGCAGCCTAAATGCTACTCATTTGAAATTTCAGACATTCATCTTTTCCTTCATTGTCTGCTCTATATTCATGCTTCGTTTTTCCACCTCAGTAGATGTTATTTTTTGATCCTCAATTGCTCTATTACTGTTAGGTACTTAGAATAGGAAACAGGAGTCCAAAATGGCGGTGGCGAAAAGACAAGGAAGGGAAAAGCCCGCGAAAATAGAACAGAGGAAGGTCAAAGGAAGGTCGGAAGACCCGAGTGAGGAGTGAGGACTTCCGGGAGAACAAACAGTACTCCTGGCCAAGCCCGATTTGCATAGGGCAGGCCCAGGGGGTGGGAAAACATATAAAAAGAGGAGCCAAAGGGTTTCCCGCCCCCGCGTGTGCATGCGCTCTCTCTCTCTCTCTCTCTGCCCATCCCTCGCGTGCGTGCACTCTTTCTCTCTCTCTCTGCCCATCCCTCGCGTGCGTGCACTCTTTCTCTCTCTCCCGTGTGTGTGCATGCACTTTCTCTCTCTCCCCCCTCTCTCCCATGCGTGCATGCGCTGTCTCTCTCTCTCCCCCTCTCCCATGCGTGCATGCACTTTCTCTCTCTCCCCCCTCCTCCATNAGCTGTGACGCGCCGCGGGCTTTAATGTCCCTCGCTCCAAATCTTTGTTGTGAGGAGACAAAGAACTGAGGAGCATACACTCGCCTGACAATTACTGTCTTTGTATTAGCTTCCTAAGGTCACTTAACAGAGTACCACAAATCGGGTGGCTTAAAATAACAGAAATCTCGGCTCACAGTTTGGGAGGCTAGAGGTTCCTGAATCGAAGTGTTGTCAGGGTTAGTTCCTTCTGACCTGTTCTCCCGGCTCCTGCAGATTGCTGACAGTCCTTGGCGTGCCTCGGCAGGTGGACATATCACTGCAGTCTGTTTCCATTGTAACATGGTGTTCTCCTCTCTCTGTGACTAAACCTCCTCTCCTTTATAAGGGCACCAGTCATTGGATTAGAGCCCACGCTAACTCACTGTGACTTCATTTAAACTTGATTACATCTGCAAAGACCCTGTTTCCAAAGAAGCTCATTTTCAAAGGTTCTGGGGATGATGATGTCAAAAATGTCTTTTTGTGACTCACAGTTCAGCCCACAACAGCATTCTTTTGTGGTAAATACATATCCTCTATATGCCATTTGAATTTATATATTATAATCTTTAAAATTACTTTCTCAGTGCTTACTTTGGTATCTTAATCTATAGTAGTCTAGTTTAGGCTAATATCAACTTTGCAATAAGATGCACAATTTTTGCTTCTATATGTAGCTCAATTCTCTCTCCCCTTCTTTATGCTGATGTTATCATACACAAGCATATTTTTATAAAATGTACATATAACTACATGTTCATAATTAATGCTTCATGCAGTTGTTTAAGTTAGACAAAAATGAGAGTTACAAACAGAAGCCACATTTATATCATCTTGTATATTTACCTTAACCCATGTTCTTTATTTCTTCATGTGGATTGGAGTTTACTATGTAGTGTCATTTCATTTGGACCTTGATGGACTCTATCTAGTATTTCTAAATTGGGGTTCTTAGCAAAGTATTCTCTCAGTTTTTGTTTATCTAGGCATGTGCTAAGTTGTCTCAGTCGTGTCTGACTCTTTGCAACCCTGTGGACTGTAGCCCACCAGGCTCCTCTGTCTATGGGATTCTCCAGGCAAGAATACTGGAGTGGGTTGCCATGCCTTCCTCTAGGGGGTCTTCCTGACCCAGGGATCAAACCTGCATCTCTTGTGTCTCCTGCCTTGGCAGATGGGTTCTTTACTACTATCGCTACCTGGGATAGCTTAGCTTTTTCTTTATTTTTGAAAGATGGCTTCTCTGGAGAGAGAATTCTTGGTTAGCAGTCTTTCAGCACTTTATATTTGTCCTTCCACTACCTTCTGGCCTCTGATTTCTGATAGCAACTGTTAATCTTATTGAGGATCGCTTATTAATAATGAAATACATGTCTCGCTGTTATCAGGATTCCCTTTTTGTCTTTCAGTGCTTTGTGAGATCGCTAGGTATAGATCTCTTTGAATTTATCCTATTTAGAATTCATACAGCTTCAAGGTTATGCAGATTAATGGTTTTCCTCAAATTTCTGAGTTTGGGGATATAATTGTCTCAGATATTTTTCTACTTTTTTCTTCCCTTCTAAAATTCATATTATGTATATATTCATATGTCTGATGGTATCCCACAGATTTGAGATACTATTAATTTTTACTCATTGTTTTTTTCTTTCTGTTCCTCAGACTGAGTAATCTCAATTAACCTAGCTTCAATTTTGCTGATTGTTTCTTATGCCAGCTCAAATCTGCTGAGATCCTACAGTGAATTTTTAAATTTCATTTCTTTTACTTTTCATACCAGAATGTCTTCTCATTATTGGTATTCTTTATTCAATGAGACATCGTTCTCATGCTTTTCCTTAATTCTTTAAGCATGATTTTCTTTACTTCTTTGAAAGTCTTAATCAGACAATCGTGTCTCTCTTTGCGACCCTGTGGACAATAGCCCATCAGGCTGCTCTGTCCATGGAATTCTTCAGGCAAGAATACTAGAATGGGTAGCCATTCCCTTCTCCAGGGATTTGTCCCAACCCAAAGATTGAACCCAGGTCTCCTGCATTGTAGGCAGATTCTTTACCACATGAGCCACCATAGTTAAAATAATGATTTAAAGTCATTGCCTAGCAAGTCCACCATGTGGGCTTTTGCTGGGTGAGTTACTATTGGTTGCTTTTTTTCTGTGTGTTTTTCATGCTTTGTAACTTTTTGTTGAAAACTAGACTTTTAAATATAATGTGGCAGCTCTGGAAATCAGATACTCTTTACTCCCCAGTATTTATTGTTGTTGGTGATGGTTTAGTGACTTTTTAAAATTCAGTCAAGTCAGTACTTTGTTATATGTGGCCAGTGAAGTCTCTATCAAATTAAAATCTTAATAGTCAACCAATGATTGGACAGAAATTTCCTTAAATGCCTAGAACCAATAAGTTTTTGTCTTTGCAGAAGAGCCCTTTATGCATATTGGAGCATCCTTCAGCACTCAGGTTGCTTACCATTCTCGTTTGTGTAAAATCTCAGACTTAGCCAGAGGTGAGAGCTAAGGGCCTTCTCATGTCTGCTGAGTAGGTGCATAGCCAGACATGCACACGTCCTTGTGCATGCACACAGCCTTCTAGAGTCCCAGGAATATGTCAGTGTGTTTCAAAACCCCTTCTGGACATCACATTCCCTAGCTTTTCCTTTTAAGCTTTTTGATTTGCTTATTATTTGCTCTGTTATTTGCAGCCCCAGGCAGCCATGATGTTAAGCAATTGCAGCTGATTATTTTTGACAAATGCCCCTGGGAAAAAGGCTTTTCTCACTGGGTGAGTGCCAGGTCAGGTTAAATAAGAAATCCATGTGAGTGGAGTCTTCCATGAAACCACGACACAGGTCAAATAGTGACAGTTTTTCTGGGAATGGAGTTTTGAAGGAGCTCCAACCCTCTTCTGCCCCCTCCAGTGGCTGCCACAGCTGCCGGTTTTCACCATGATTAAAGACGGTTGGTTTTTAAGGCCACCACAGAACTGAGGAGTGGGAGGTGAGAAAAGAGCCAGTTTAAAATGCCACGTAACTCTGTGTTCTTACCGAGACTCCTCCACTTTTCCTGAATAAACACTCCTCAGGTTGCTGTAAGCCTTTAGTTAATTTCCAGAGTTCTGGAGAAAAATTTATTCTGACCATTTTTGTCACTGTCCTCATCGTTTGGGGTGTTTACTCTGCCATCCCTGCTGATGTCAATAAATATTCCTCATACCTTAAAATGGGCTGCCTCTGTGTCTGTCAGGCCAGGAGTGTATGAGGTTGGCTCAATATTCTTCGTTAATTTTTGTGTTCCACGTCAAAGGTGCCATCAGCCACTTATGGTTCCATCTGCCCTTGTAAAACTTGTGAGGAGGAACTCATGTTATTAGTAGGTTATTGACTGCAACAGATGACTATTAATTGAGTCTCTCAGTGGCCTGTAACAAACAACACCCTCACAGAATGCACCGAGATTTAGCAACTAAAATGCATCCCTCGTTAGATACTCATAGCTGTGGGCATCAAACAGGATAATGTCACTTACATCTATGGAACCTTGCCTGAGACATATAGTTGCTCCCCTGTCTTTTTTTATTGAGTCCTTTTCTAAAAACCATACCAAATATTACTCTGTTATATATATTCTAATAGATCAGCCTCCAAATCACTCTCCTGTATTCTTGAAGCTATTGTAAATCTCTTCTCATGAAAATGCTTCATCTTCTTGATACGTGGTATTTCCATCTGTGTTCCATCCTCTGGGTCGTCTTCCAGAAAGCTTTGTGCACCAGCTGACTAGGTATTTGTTAATTAGGAAGAGGTTTGCTGTTGATGCTGTTTTACTAAACTAGGAAGATATCAAACTTAGAATTAAGCTGTACGCTGTAGAATTTGCAGTGAAGCACTGGAAAATATTGGTAATTTGCGGATATGTAACTCCTGAAATTAAAGAGTCATTTTGAAATTTTCAGTGCATTGTTTTACTGTCACAAAAATAAACAGATTTTAAAGTAAACATAGATTTTTAAGGTTTACCAAAATTTTTGTTAAAATATCTTTATGACGTTTTTCTTTATTATCCGTCTAGCTGAAAGGGACATGACTGAACTGAAATGTTCACAGAAGTAGGAGACCTGAGTCTGAATCAGTTTGTCATTAATCTGGGAAACTAGTTGAATCTTGATCACTCTATTTACATTTCAGTCTTTTTGAAAAGGGAACATCATTCTGAAGGGATTGAGATGAATGAGATAGATTGAAATTTTTCCATTTGATCTCTTTAATTCTGAGCCTTCTAAAATCTTGACAAACTCATTTTACTTGATGTGACCTAGAACTTTAAAATATAGCATTTCAGAGAATTGCTGGAATTCCCTGGTGGTCCAGTGGTTAGGACTCCATGCTTTTATTGCTGAGGGCACAGGTTCAATCCCTGGTCAGAAAACTAAGATCCCACAAGCTGTGTAGTGCAGCCAAAAAAAAAAAAGAAACCCACAAAAACAAACAAAAAAAGCCAAAGAAATGTTGTGTCATTTCATCATTCCATATTTGGTGTGAAATAATCATCCTAATACTTTCTTTGACACTTGTATCATGTTTATATAAGCCTGTGAATGAGAGGCCTGGATCACAGAAGCTTTCTGATTCTGTAGTTAAGTGTGGGCACTCACTCAATTTGCATCCTCTGCCGAACACCCGAGAAAGAAGCATGGCGCTCCTCACGTGCAAGTGCTTTTCATGCTGCAGATGATACAGGAGAAAAATGGAATCTGTAGAAAACCGTATCAAGAAGATCTCTCTCTCATTGAAGGAATAATTGCTCCAAAGACCATTCTGGTTCCCCACTTACAACCCTGGAGAGGAATTGGGGATCATTTGGGGGGCTGGCACCATAAGCCCTTGGGCATGCCGCCAGTGTTCGCTCCCAGTCTTGCTGGGTTTGGAGCATTTGACCCCATGGACTATACAGTCCATGGAATTCTCCAGGCCAAAAGACTAGAGTGGGTAGCCTGTCCCTTCTCCAGGGGATCTTCCCAACCCAGGGACTGAACCCAGGTCTCCCGTGTTGCAGGCGGCTTCTTTACCAGCTGAGCCGCCCGGGAAGCCCATGGAGTTGCAAAGCGGCAGACCCGACTGAGCGACTTTCACTTCCACTCTCTGTTCTCTGAGCCTACCAGGGCACCAGCCGCTCTTCTTTTATATACAAACCTATCTCACTTAATTGCACTTACCAAATATGGTGCTTTATACAGGTTTAAAAGGTTTGTGGTAACCCTGCATTGGGCGCCTGTCAGTGGCATTTTTCCAGCATCATTTGGTCACTTCATGTCTCTTGTCACATTGTGGTAATTCTTGCAATATTTAAAGCTTTTTCATTGTTGTATTTGTTATGGTGATCTGTGATCTTTGATAAATCTATTTCAAAAAGATTATGACTTGCTGTAGG